GCCGGCCGCCCCGCGCCCAGACCCACCCACCCCCACACCCCCCCACACCCACATCCACCCACACCCACACGCACACGCACACCCACACCCACACCACACCCTTTGTTTGACAAACTACTCTTTGCTATTAGCTTGTTCTCGTGAACTGTCCAACTCAGAGCTGACATGCTGCTGAGATGTGGAAACAAAATATTGATCGTACTAAAAAGAACATGAATATTAACATATAAATAAATCCTAAAGAAAAATTAAAAAGCTTTAAAAATGATTAACAAAATCAATTTTCAGCGGGAGGCGGTCTTCTAATATGTCAAGAGGTTTATCTCCATCACATCATATATATCCAGAATCTTGAGTACCCGCTATATTTGTTTTATCTTTTATAAATCGTCTACTATCCGCATCTCTATTATGTTCTCTATCTCGATGACCCGTATCGCCTCTATCATTTCCTGTATCTTCATAACCTTCATTATGTACATCACTTCCTTCATCTTCATTAACAAAAGCTTGAAAAGAGTTCTGGAAATTCATATGTGTTTTCTAGAATTATGTCAAAAGTGTCATTGACATTCACATCCTTAAGAATAATCCAGGAATCTACCACCGTATTTTCTCATGTGAGTGTTGTTGATCGGGGTAGGGACACTGACATCACATTGTCACATCTGATTTATCATTTCCAGATACAGATAATGATACAAATGCTTAATTTCACAGTCAAGCCTGTATTCAAACCCATACTCACATTCACATTGCTTCACTTTTATGAGGATGGAATAGAGTAAAAGCTAGTCGTGTAGAAAGAATTTGAAATGTCAAATCTGCTCGATTTTATATCAAGCCTATAAGTAGAGTCCTATCATATTGAGATAGTCTTAAAAGTCTGAGAATCATGATATGTTGAGTCATTGATTTGAGTAAGTATACTGATCAGATAGAGCAGCTAGAAACTACATGATATAAAATCATAAATGTCGTCATAATAACTTTCAATAATACATCGCGTACATGTTCTTCCATCGGTGAATAGCTTCGGTGAATTCTTGATACTATGAGTATATCTGTCTTTTCAATAGTATTCATTAGGAAACAAACTACAAAATAATGTTTTAAGGTTAACTTTCTTCATCAATTACATTTGATAAGATTTGTTTGCTTGCATCAATGCTTATTTCAAAACATTACTGATTTTCAAAAAGATTCAAGTAAATGCAATTAGCGTCCTTTAATCACAAAATAGTCTGATAATTTAAGAGAGATAGACTTATTGAAGTTAATTCTTGTTCTCCATTAAAACTTTGATGATAAAGGATGAGTTTCAGTTTTACATTAAAAAAGAAAATAACTGCACCTAAGGATATCATTTGAGCATTTCAGATAGTTTATGTTTATCTACTAAGTATGTAAGACTATTATTTCATCTCCTTGATTATTAAGAAAGAAAAACTTCTCAAGTGTATTTAGATAATAGAATTGATTATGTATTTTTCAAATGAATTTAAAAATAGTATTCAATATTCAGTCAAAATATAAATGAGATATGTTTTTTATCAACTTAAGTAATTCAAAGAGAAGTTGATTATAGATTGTCTATTAAGAGTGCACATTGTTAAAATCATGCTGAGATTAGTCTAAAATTAGAAATATAATAAGAAAACTGTAGATTTTAAACCAACAAATATGAATAATAACAGTCTCTCGAGAAGAAAACGATCAAATTCATAGTCCTTGAAAAAATTTGCATCAAAAAAGTTCTAGTAAGTTTTTTTTATACAATTATATGTTCTATATGTAAATAAAATATAAACTTAAATAATGTAATTCAGTTAAGAATCTTCTTTGAAATGAATAGAAAACGAATACTAACCAATTTTGGTATAGACAAATTTTTTACAACTATGTTATAGTTTTCGTGAGCTCCATTATACAACCTTTTATATGTTTGTAATCAATAATCTAAAAAACATCGTCCTCATTTTTGTGTATTTTGTGAGACCAAACGTCAAAAATTTGGTTATTTGTATAAAAACTTATCAGCAGTGTTTTATCGAGCGTCCAAGTCAAAGAAATGATACTATTCCATAGATTGAATTCACCTGCTCCCTTTCTCTCATATAGTTTTAAAGTGCTTCTTTGAAAAAGGAAAATTAGATAAAATATTAATAATTAAAAAAAAGACTCCCAAGTATATCTATTCATAAAGTTGTCAATTCATCACTATGCATGATTACCTTTCTTACCATCGTACTTTTTCTCAGAAATGCTGGATAGATCTTGCTTTCTAAAATCTTCTATAATATTCAGCATGATATTTTCAATCAGAAAAATTTCTTTTGAACTTTAAATAAAATATTGAATTATCGTCAAAGATCTTAGTAACAATTAGAAAAGAACAATAACATCCTACTCTGTTTTCTATTTCTCAAAGTATGACAGAGTTGATGAAAAAATTTTCTCACACAATTTCCTTGTCTGTATTAGAGAAGACCCTAATTGACACAAAAGTACCGTATAAGTGTTATTGTGAGCATCAAATAATAGTTACTCTTAGTGCTGAGATATAAGTATTAAAATTACACCTAGATCTTTGATATTATTTGACATCAAAATTATTTAAGACAATGCTACTATTAACTTAGCATCGTTTTTAATTCTAGCGAATCTACTACTGTTGACCAGATTTTGAAGAGTTCAAAGTTAAAGTTTCAGATGCCAACACTTATGTTCTGTTTTAGGAAAATCATTTCTAATAACAGAAGAAAATCATTCTATCATTAGAAACTTTTTAGCTTGAACTTTTCACAATCTAATCGCAATTGATAAACGTATTAGAAACAAAATTTATGCCAAGTTAGTCTTAACATTTTCATATTCAATGATTCTAATGGCAAATAATGTCACAATATATGGAGTTCATTTCAAGAATTATGCTTAAAACCATAAGCTATTTTTAAATACTAATACTACTTAGGGCAATCCAACAGTAGTGTTTTCATCATCTTGCTTCCCTATAGATAGCTTAAAGAAAATTTTTCTCTATTTAGTCTGATACAGAAAATGATGCTCTATTTTTATATGCTATTTGATCATATTTCAATTAATACTATAATGATAAGCTTTTGCTAAGGTTTGTTTCGTTATCATACGTTCCAATAGCACTAGTGTCTACTTAGTGGATATTTTTTGAATAATTTTTGATAAAAACAAGATAGAAAGCTGTGATTTTCATCGTTCAAAAGAAGATATATATATACACTGCATCATGCATTACACGAGTAAGTTTGTTTTCAATGATGTTGATCAAAAACTTAAAAAAACTAGTATGCGACTCGATGTATCTTCATTTCTGACTTCGAGTGATGGAAAACATTGTTCTCTATTTTATTTCTATCAAAATTTATTTAAAAAAAAATATCTACTAAGTACACATTAGTGCTATCAGCATGTATGATAACGAAACAAATCTTAGTGAAAGTTGATTATTATGATATTTATTGAAATATGTTCAAATAGCATAGAAAAATAGAGTGTTCTTTTCTCTATCAGAATATATAGAGAGAAATTTTCTGTACGCTTTTTATACGGAAGCAAGACGATGAAAACACTACTTTTAGATTGTCTGGTGTAATACCGCTCTCAAATTAGATATATTATTGTCTAGTAAAAGAGTTGTTAAAAAAAGCTAAGGGAATGACGCTATTATTTCTGTCATTCAAACCTAATGAGTTAGCTTTTGATGAATATAATTTTAAAAAACACAATATTTTTTCTTCATGAATGATTCAAAATTTTTACTAGGTTTATTATTCAGAGAATGATGAAACACAATTTGCTTCATTTTTTTATCATTCACTGAATATAAAGCAGCAATAAATTATTCTAATGCGCTTAGCTACATCATGACGCGCCTGTTCATGACAATGTCTATATAAAGGGAAAATATTAAGCGGTCAGTAAAATAAATGAAATGGTCAGTAAAAGAGTATAGAAATGATCAGCATATATATTGATTTGTCAGTATTAAAAATATCAGTAAATAATTAGCAAGTGGTCAGTTTATTACGTATAAGTGACAGTAGAAAAATATCGTTTATATCAGTAGAAACGAGAAATTTGGTCAGTAATAAATATAGTTTTGATCAGTTGAAAAACATCTTTTGTCGGTATAAAGTATACTCTAGTCGAAGAAAGAGAAATGTAAAGAAAGAATTTTAGAAAATATAACAAGAAATCTGATGAAATGTTAAATAAGACATTTGTGAATTAGTATTAATAAAGAAAACGATCATTAAATTATTGCACCAACAGAGCGGGTTTAGCTCTTGTTGGTCGACCACGTTTTCTCTTTTCGCCAATCGAAACTGTCTTTTCTGGTGGTGGTGTTTTGCAATATTTTAACCGTATACTCATACCGACAACGTGTTTACATATATATTTTTTAATAAACGCTGAATAGTTACATGTGAATGTTTTCCAATGTGAATCAATGTCAATTTCCACACATCTGTGAGTCTATTGTTTTGTTCGCTTGATGATGATCGTTTATTATAAAAATTCGTGAGTTTATATAGGTATTAGATAGTGCCTTTATGTGGTAATTTCCGATCGCGTTATGAAAAAATTCATAGAGGAAACGTACGATCGCTGAGTAAATCGAGGAAAATTCCAAATAGAAACGAAACATATGTACTTTGGACAGATGTCAAAGTTACAGAAGCAAAGAGAAAAACATATACCACCCATCATCCGCTAACATAGTAAAACAGAAAAAAAAATAGATGTGAGTGATACTATCGCGCATTTAAGTTTATACACTTTCCTTTTCATTTAAATTACTGGTGATAAATTTTATTTACTGATCATTTCATTTAATTACAAATTTACGTCGTTAATAGCTGACCATTTCAGTAGATCACTGATCAATCATTATTTTACTGACCATTCATTGAATTTACTGATTTTTCGAATTTTTTCATCTACTGATCATTTCATTTATTCTACTGACCTTTTAAATAGTAGCCCTATATAAATAGTATTATATGAGATCTTTAGCGTCATTCATGTGCAAGCTTGATTCACTGAATCAATCTTTTTTTTTCTTTGTCAATCTAGCTGAAAATCAAAACATTATTTATATATCAAGTAAACAACGTGAAGTGAAATCTATCAGCAAAGATTAACAAAACTAGTGGTCTTATTCAAATGGCTTTCACTCTAGTACAAGCTCATGGCATGTGTATGATTTTAGCTATGATGGTCTTCGGTTCCACGGGTATTTTTATGGCACGTTATGGACGTTCATTACGTTGTGGGTCTCGTAGACAATTACTTGGCAAAGCTGTTTGGTTTCAAATACATCGACTTCTTCTTTCGATATCTTCTCTATCAATCCTTCTAGGCTTCTTTTTGATTATTGTCCGTGCTGGTGGTCAATGGGTAAATCCTCGAGTTTATGGTCTATGTTTATTTGTTCATTCCATATTGGGTGGTACAATTGTATGCTGCGTTATAATACAAATATGGTTAGCACTATATCGTTGCAATCCTCGTAGTCGATTTCGTTTTATTTTTAATTGGAGTCATCGTATCACTGGTTTATTAATTTTTAGTCTGTCATTTCCAATGCTATTTATTATCATATCTGTGATGGCCAAGTATTCTACTGTTCTCCTTACAATTGTTTCTTTTTGGACTGCCTGGATAGTCGTTGTCATCATTATTTGTGAAACAATTGAACATAAAAAACGAGTATCCGTTTTACCAACGGCAAACAATGTCCGACAAGATGATACAAATCAGGAAAATACTAATACTAGTTTACCATTGGATACTGAAGCAACTACACAGACAAACATCGGCAGTCAATATCATAATCAAATAAAACTACTTTTACTTATCAGTCATATTCCTATTAGCATTACTCTTTCTGTTTTACTCATTGTATATATTTCTAAATAAACTAAATGTGCGCACAGATATTCTTCAAATTCAGATTTCAGTGAGAACTTAACCCTTAAGAGCTCAATGTTCCTTCTAAGGAACATTAGAATAATTTCAATAAATTCCACTAGAAGAGTTTATATGGAAAAACCAACATTATTCTGAACTTACATGACCTGAATGATCAAACAGAGATGAAAATATAATTCTCAAGTGACTCTTAAACCGAACAATGAACCTTTTACGACACTCGTCATTTTTTTAGCATCACTTTTCTTTTTTGAAGGTTTTTTTTTATTCATATAAGCGAGGTGTGGCTATGGTTTTTTTAAGCGATATTGTTAAACATAGTGCTAAGGTATCTGATGAAACCATCTCGTGTATTTTAAACCATTTCACTAACTCAGGACTCTATCATAAAGAAAATGTTCTTTCTATGGGATATCCTGCTTCAAGACAAAATCGAAACAAAGAGATTTTGATTTAAAATTTTGCTCATAAATAGCTGATACGATATTTAGATTGCCCTGACATTTTCAGCAACAAATGTTATTTACGTTTGGAAATACGGCATGTTGAAGAGAAACTGAATTTTGTGAGTTGTTTTGTAAAATATTGCCGATTTTTTTCTGTGTCAAATATCTCAACAACAAACCATCCTTTTTGACTGAAAATTTCAGAGCAATTTAAAGATTATATAAACTGATAAACCGTGAAATTTCAGATTGAAATTCCTTTCGTTCAAGTTTTTCCAAGGTCCAAGATTTCTGCTAAAGAACGTTGTGTAACTCTAGAGAAAAAACAAGGTACTTCGTTTTAGTTATAGTATGAGCATACTGAGGGTCCATCATTTCTATTTTTACGGTTGTCTTCAGTCTGTTGCAAGAAAAACTCCCTCGAGCTNTACCCAATATTTGATTAAGTAGCTCTATCGAGGGGAGTTTATTTAATTAAATAAATGAAATATTATGTATTCATGCGGTATCCAAAGTAGCTAAAATTTTTTTCGAAAAAGAGTTCAAAAAAAACTTTTAATAAATTGTTAGAAAGAATTGAACTTGATACAAATAATCATGGCAACTATCCTCAACATTTCATAAAATAAAATGAAAAATATCTTTCTATTTTCTTTTTTTTTTTAATGTTGCCAGAACTTTTGTTCAGACCTAGTATCAACGTAATTTCTTTCAAAGATTTAGTAAAAAAGTACTGAACAATCCGACATAAAATATAGCGTAGTAAAAAACAATAATTACTTATCTTATTCGGCGCTTATAACGATACATTGATTACATGCTCAACGAAGCAATGTACTCTATAACCATATTGAAATGAATAAAATATATGAAACATCACGCGCAAAACTCAAAATAGAGAACAAAGAATGTATTTTGAGCTATTAATGAATTATTGAATAATTTAGTTTTACCTCAAAAAGGTAACGCTAAATTTGGTGAAATATGACCTACTGAAAATGTATAGAGTATATGAAAGAAAAAAGTATAGGAAGAATAATTACAAAGTTTAAACAAATAAAGATTTGATTGAATAAAGAATGACAAAAATAATCTGTAATGATTGATACAATATCTAAGAGACTTAGCGAATTAATAAATGATGGTGAACAACAAATGTCTAATAGTTAAATGAGACTTTTGTGTAATCAAATTAATAATAAGAGTTTTTTTGGTCTTTTTTAATAAAATATCTTATTGATCGATTGCAAAGAAATTCTTCTGACATTTTCATATTTATATTTATATTAATATTATTAAAATAGAAGATATCATCAAATACTATGTCACTTGAAAGATTCAAACAAATGCTGAAGGTTCATATAGTAAATATTCGGTTAGAGGTTATTCTCTGTCTACATATAAAATAATTTTGTCGCGCCTTAAGACTTATGCGATATTCTGTTTGTAGTAAATCTACATGGACACGTAAGAGTTTATTTTCAGTTATAAGATTCGTACATACGTACTTTACTTAATAAGACGCACTTCTTCACTATTCGACCAGTTACTTACATCAGAAATGCTATGAAAACTGAAGAATATAATGATTATCAGATAACTAATAGGCTCATGTGAGCATGAATACTAATAACTATTGGTGAATTCGAAAATTTGAACAAGATCTTTGAACCAACATAGTGTGGATATAGAAGAATGATTTTATTTTAATGAGAAATAAATTAATAAACACTGAGTGAAAAAAACTAAATTCTTACATGGAGTAGTATGTGCACTACACAAGGACAGAACGTTGCATGCCGACGCAGAATTGATTTGCTAATAATTTCCGTAAATACGAACGTTTTTCATTGACATGCACAATTGAGCAAAATTCCAATAATCTTGTAAGTACATGCCAATAACGCTTTGACATTTACATACGAGGCATATATCTTGCATAAACACGCAAAAATGTTATATGCAATTATTTTCAAGGATACAAGTCATTCTTCATTTTTCATGTTTTTATTAAAAATTTAAAAGTTGTATTTTCATGCATGTGTTTACGATATGCTCGTTTATGTATGTGGTATTGTCTTGCATTGATGCACAACAATTATAAATATTTTGAAATAGTTTACATGTTCATGGATGAGATACGACGACTTGACAAAACATTTTTTAAGTAAATATCAGTTACAGAAAACTTCCTGCAAACCCACGCCTTCTTCAAGCTTTTGCATTTGACAGAAAATACTTCCAATATTGTGTTAATAACGTGATGAGGCAGCTGGCACTGAAACATCTTCTGATATAATTTTGTTTGATGATACAACAATAATTTTTCCATTGTTTATTGATAATTGCTTTTTTTTTTACTATAATTTCCATATCACTATCGGTTAACTTATGGTTTTCCAAATATAGCTTTGATGAAGATCGATATTGTTCGATTTGCTGTTCCAATTGAAAGTTCTGATCAGAGTTGTCGATTGTTTTGAAAAGTGGGAGGGGCTACAAATTCGGCACAAAGTCTAAAAATTTTGGCAGAAAGAGTCTCATGCGACTTTCTGACAGCAGCTGAACAAATAATGCTGAATTCATTGTTTTTGTGCCAGAAAAATGGCGGATTGTGCTTAATAACCAAGATTTTGCCAGAATTTACCATAAGATTTTTAGAATTTGGCAGAAAGTATTAGAAATTTTTGCAGAAAATCGGACATGTTTTCAATTTTTGGTGAAGGATTGTCTTTTACACTCAGTGATATATTCAAATCGCATTTGATAAAATTGTGTTCGAAAGATATATATAAATAAATACTTCGCATTCATATATCGCCGATCGCAACAGAGAATCTGGCTTTTACTGAATATGGTCACGATAAAAAGACAACAACACGTTGTTTTTTTTGTTTCACTTTTATCATCAACATTCAAGAGAGAGTACGTCAAAATTCTTCTGTTCTAAAACTTTTGATAATAATCTGAGCAACAAATTTGTCTATTAACTTGATTGGAATCAGCGAAAAGAATAGCACAGTCAAAGTTTATATGTATTATAGAAACGATCATGTGATATCTGAGTTCTTTTAAATCATTTTCATGAATATCATTACTCATGTTATTGATAAAAATATTCTGAAAATAAGCTGTAGATTTTATTTATTACACAACACAATAATGATCATGGAACAATAGTTGTTGCTTTTAAATGTGGATCAACTGCACGACGCGACAATCGGATTGTTTGAGGACCAACTATTCTTGTTTGTTGTTGCCAATATGGAAATATTTTCTTAATACTACTTTTAAGCTCAGGCATTGATCCAGTACATACAAACGGTAAAAAAACAATTCCATAATATGCAAGAAATTCGGCATATGACATAAAATCGGCACCAAAGTCTTCAGAAACGCCACAAATATAAATGAATTCCATTAACATCTTTGGTATATATAAAATAAGATACAAAACTGAAATTGATATTAACTGAATCGTCATTTTTCGATGATTTCGCCAACGAATTGGTCGACGCATTCGATATTTTTGATAGACAACACGTAAAAGAAGAGCAATACTAGAGAAAATAATTATTATTGTAGGTATAATATCATTAACTACAACATCCCATGTCGCTACGAATGGAAATTCATAATAACAAAGAGGATAACCACATACAAGTTGAGTATAATCAAATTTATTTTCACATGGTGGAAGAATAATTGCAATAATATTGTAACAAATGCAATAAAGAAGAATTATGACTATTGGTAAATAATGAAAGAAAATAAATTTATATTTTGTTGATACTAATTGATCATGAAATATGAGAATATGACGTTCAATAGTTGCCCAAGCAAATAGAATTGTTGTTGTAATATATAAAGCTTCATCAATAAAAATCCATGTAAGACAAAATAAAGGATTTTGTGGCCAAACATTTCCCAAACGATAATAATTAAGAATCCATGGAATACTTGTTAGTTGTACAATAAGATTGATGAAAAGAAGAAGAAAAATAACATGATTATGTAAAGCTTGACGTAATGTTCGATTGATAATAAAATGATAAAAAACGAACAAAGAACATATGATTGATGGAATGTAAAAGAGAAGAATAATCCAAAAACGAACTAGATAAGGAATGGCGATTTCAGAATGTAATACCGTTGTATCATCATAAGAACTGTTGTCTTCACCTGACATTTTTTTTAAACAAATGTTAAATCATAACGAAGAAGAAAAATATATGCAAACTATGTGTCAAATACAGATGAAAATAGAAGTACTGTTGATAATTATTCATTTTTTTTTCTCGTTTATTTTTTATAATAATTATGTTCATTATTTTATGTCAACATAGAACATTTACTAGAATCTTCAGCGGTATATCCATCATTTTATACAAGAATGAACATGTTAAGTTAGTTATTAGTATATATATTAAATAGACAAATTAATAATTTTTATTTTAAATCTGAAGATAATTTCAAGAAATGACATTGCCTTGAAAGCTTTTATTCTTTATTGTCAAGTATAGGTTAATGAAATGTCAACTTCATAGAGAACACTACGACGCCAGATATGAACAGATTAACAAAAAAATATATTCAAACTGTTGATGAATTATCAATTTAAAATATAAAAAGGTCATTTCATTCAACGTATGAAAGACACGTATAATATCAAGATTTTTAAACATATGAGTACTCTTCATATGGAATAAAGATAAGAAATTATAAAGTAGTTTTTCTTTCAATTGTTAAATTTATTAGATATAGTTAGCAATGCAATCATCAAATATGTTCATCAATCTCTATACAATAAATTATTCTATGCATATTTCCGTAATTATTCTTCTCAGAGTTAATTGTGATCAAGTATAGTTTCTTTAGTTTATGAGAATAAAGATAAATTTTGTTTTCAACACTTGGTTCGAGTCAACTGTACCAGAATACCGCTGTCTCATGAAAGACATATTGCATAAACTCTTTAATATGATCGAATTATAATTTGATTATTAATGAATAAGATTTACAAGACTAATTAGTATGATTCTTTTTTTTTTCAATTGACAATCAAATTAACAAAGCAAACAAATGTGATGTCTGTTTAACCTCTTCCGTCAAAATAAAAAAATAATTACAGATTCTTTCTTTTTTTGTCGTTATTTTGATTTTTGAGAGTGTTTAATTGTCTTTAGAAATATATAAGTATATTATCAAAGTAAAAAGAAAAAAGATTTCAGTGCAGTTTCAAAAGCATTAAAATATGAAACTCATATACTTTAGATAAGCTAAAATATAATTTAGCAACTAAAACAAGTCAAATAAAATGTATTAAATGAGAATTAAATATTGTTTTTTCTATTCAATAGTAATCAACGTAGTAATCGTTTCTACGATGTATCCATGGGTAACTACAGAGAACTGTTTGTGCTGGGGGCGGGGGACATGAACAACTTCAATAGAAAATTACACTCACATTTTAATATGTGAGTTCCATTAAAATCATGTCTATTTGATCAGTTCATTGAATCTATCAGTCTTGACTCTTCGATATGAGACTACAAAATAAAGAGATTCAGCAAGTTTACAGATCTTCTCACATTTGTTTCTAAAAATTTCTTCATCTTCAAAGTTTATGTTTGAATTAAAATCAAGCAAATTATGCATTTGTCTTTATAGAATTGAATGAAATATAACTAGCTAGTCTTTGTGTCAACATACAGTACTCCACAAAAGTCTTCGGCCCCCTGAATTTTGGAACCTATAAAGTTCCGAGAGCTAAAACTTTGCAGGAATACTGTTCTTGGTGCATTCTGATCGCCTACACAAACAGTAGTTCAGAGGCATTTGTAGTAAAAGAATTCTACCTATAAAGAAACGGATATTTTATCGTCGACGATAAGAAAAATTGACTTAGGCAAATTTCATACTGTTACGAAGCAGACAAGCATAAAAAATTCAATATTTGGACACAGAAATGAAGCTCAGATTTTACTCTTCTCATGGTAAAATTTTCAAGTAATTCACTCTTGTATTATGACAGTTTAGAGCCTTGTTCTGAACGATATCAACATATGCACCATTTTTCGTTATGACAACATAATCGGCTGAAAAATTGTAAAACACATAGAACATAAGCTAAGAAGTGTCTGGGAAAAATTTTGCCTTGAAATATTGTATTTTCGACGAGTTCAGCTATTCAGACAGATGATATGAGAATTCTGAAAAGATGAGTTCAGCAGTAAAATGATTGGCATTCTCTTAAAACTAAACTAAATCGACTCATATTTTCTGGGCTTAAAGCCTCAGTGGCTAGCTGCACGTTGGTGGGTAACACAGCCAAATATTCTTTAGCCTCTAGCGAAGACACAAGTTACGTCAACCCTATGAAATTTTACGCTTCATGAAATACGGAGACGTTTTACAATCTCCAATTTGTGTCGACGATCAGGGTGCACCAAGGATGGTACTTCTGCAATGTTTCAGCTCATGGAACCTCATGGATATCAAGATCCAGAGGGCTGGAGACTTTTGTGGAGTACTGTATATTGTGAATCTACTTAAAGTTCAAAAGATGTTTTTTTTTGTATTTTATCATATACTGTTAAATTAGTAATATGAATTTTCCTAAAATATTATCACTATATCATCATTTCGGTTGGATATATATTGAAGTATGAAATTTTGTTCAAAAGAATGTTATTCATTGTGATATTACCTACCATATTTTAATCTGAAATAAATTATAAAAACCATCCAACGCCCCAGTCAAACATGGTTTTAGAAAACATGCATGTAAATGCACGATAATGAGTTCTTGTCCACGCATGTGTTGCTATAACTTTGCACGCGTGTGCACGCAAAACTTAGGAATGTTTACACGCAAGTTTCCGCGAGTATAGCTTTTGCATGATCACGCAAGTTCAGCAGAAAAGGGTTTAAAAATGCCTGATATCATGTATGTGGTATGCTATCATGTACACGCATGAAATACTTATTTTTCAGGTATGTACACGCATGCGATATATGAAAGATAATACTTACATAAGGATTCGAAGTTGACATATTATATTAACAAACGAACATTCTTACCACTCGACCATTAATTGATATTCATTAGTATCAAGAAAAGAATGTTATTGATTCATGATAGAACACGCAAGCTCATGCAAATCAAAGATTCTTACATGCACGAACATTTAAGTGCTGTTTTCCTTGAACATATAAAAAAAGAACGTCAAGTCTTTCTATAAGGCATGCATTGTGATAGTAGCATTTTATCATATTTTTATCGATCTATAAGCAAAACTATGCTTAAATTATTATTTTAACCTGAAATTTAACATTATTTACACCTTAAACGTTTTTTCAAGAGTACAAAAATATATCATCCATATGATAGTCTTTTTCCTCATCTCACCATATTTAATCAATTAAGGGGAGCACGATTCTTTAAATGTGCTTTAGCTGGCACTATTCATTACCATGCATACGATGGTAAAGAACAAGTGAGAGATGATTTTTGTATTTCATTCACCAGAAAAATGAATAACAACACATTGGATGTATTTTAATCGTTATTCGAGATGAAAATGAACAAGTCATTTTTTTATTTAACTTGATGTCATTGAAACAAGTCTCACGTTCTCCCTATGTGCGGAAACTTATAATTTTTATTGCTTGGTTGGCATGTGATTTGAATGGAAAACCATCAGCTTATACTTGTAAAAGTAATAACTCTCGTAATTCTTTTTTCTTATTTTTTCGCATCATTGTGAGATAACTTTACAGTTTCTTTTCAATTTACTAATCTAATTAAAATAAAGAATATTGTGCATACATGAGTTGCATTAAACACTAAATACATATTATTCAGAAAATAATATATATATATATCTTCATTCACATATGTTAAATAAAGCATAAACATGCGTACTCCATGAACTTTTCAGATTATACATTTTTCGTAAGTTCGCGAGCATAAAAACTAAAGAACTATTTTTGCCACATATTGCATGTGCTCATATGTGTCTGAAGATATCTTTTTCCATGCACTTATATACAAAACTTGACAAGACCACACTTGGAATGCATGCACACACAGGTAAAACTGCTGTGTTTACATGGGAATAATATTTCTTGCGTAAATTTGCAAGAACACAGCTGGCGAGCAAATGCAAACACGAAATTCTGCATGTTTTCTTAAAAAGCCTGTAAGCCTGTGTTCACATGCATGTAATTCTGTCACGCATGTCTGTGCAAGTGCCATTGCCTTGCGTTTACATACAAGATTCGAATATTTTACAAGAAATCTGCGTGTCTCTGCACAAACTCGAGGGAATTAAAAATATCCTGCAAGTACACGCCAGATTCATAAATTTTCTCGTATGGCAACGCGTGTTTTCGACATTGACGTTTGACTGGGCGCGATGATTGAAGTCATTCGTCATGATTTGATTATGCAGATGATGATATCAAATCAAATATGAAACTTCATCCTGTAGATCCTCATCAAAATATTGTTTGTCATACATAGATTCGCTGTCGTTAGTTAGTATTCCGATCAGTACATTTTATTTCGTATAAATCCAAAAGATACTTTTTAATACTAAAAAAATATTTATTTCTAGTTTATATATAGAAAAAAAAAAATTTGTTCAGAAAATAAATATATTTTTTTGTATTTTTCTTCATCAAACTTATGTTCAAAGAAAAAAGAAGTCTTGCGTATAATTATCATTGTAAGGAAGTAAATTATTTGTTTTATTTTCTTTAGTCGACGCTTTCTTAAGTTCTTGCCTCATATAGACATGAAGCGAAACGGGATACTTTTTCAGATTCAATGAAATTCAAATCAATATCATTGTATTCATTTCTTCGAATATTATCATTTTTATCTCCAGTTACATTTTGAATCAAAAGTGAATAAATAACATCTTTCAATGGACCAGCATAGTAATATTCACATTTTGTCAATAAAACATCTTTCTCTTCAATTAACCATAGATCTTCATTTGAATTCGGATCTAACATAAGATCATTCAATATTGTGTCAACTTGTTTAGATGAAATAAGAGATGATTGAGAAAGATGAAGAAGTATTTTAGCTGTAATATATCGAACATTCATTGACTTTGATTTCAAATAAGAAAATAAAAAATTTAAAACAACATTTTCATCTTTAATAGAATTAATACGTGTTATGCATTTATAACAATTATTCTGAATATATGGATCGTCGTGTACAGCTTCAATGAACATCTCACATAACTCGACTGTCAACTCGCCTAATATTGATAGAATAGTTAAACAAGCAGCACGTTGTGGAAAATTATGTTGTTTACTAGTATAAAACAATGCACGTTTTAAATTATCTCCATCGCGCCAATCTTTGATAAAAGCACAAAATTCTGTCGGCATTTGTATAGCGATTAAACTAGCGATTTTCACATATTGAGGATATCCGTAAGCTAATTCATAATCTGTATCTCCCATAGGTGATACTTTAGTAGTAAATTGTCGAATACTATTATATAACTCGACGATAAAGATTGGCAAAACAGTGGGATGTTCTTCAATAAACTTTGCAGTAGCATTTTCACTATTTTGTTGAACATCGTAAAGATATAAGCATGCAGTCGATTCGATCAATGCATGATAACATTGAATATAATCAAAGCGAAGCATTGCAAATAGAAATGACGTATCTTGCAGAACACGCCCAAATCCAGTACGAACAGCTTTTGAAATATCCTGTGAGTGATGTTGTAGCATAGTAGAAAATAAATCTAAATCATCTTGATCAAATGCGATCTTATTTATAGATACACAATAGGAATAACTTGATATTAGTGCACTCAAAACATTATTAGAATAGGTAGAAGTCTCTTGACATAAGCTGCTCCTTACCAATATAATTTTTTCAAGCAAACCTTTATATGTTTGTTCATTACATACATAACCAAGAGAATATGCTACTGCTTGACGAATTTCATTGTTGTCAGATATTTCGAATAAATTCGTAAGAGCATCAACTGCTACTTGTCGTGTTTCACTAGTATTGTTCAGTAAATTATGTAAAGTCGAAACTACTGAAACAACAAATCGAGTATGACTTTCATTAACCGCATTTGATGTTGTATCTCCATCAATTTCCCAGAATGAAAATAAATTCGATGCAATCATATCACACATATATATTATCACATCACCAGACATTTGGAACATATTAACATAGGAACATGCATCTATTGCTACGTCGGTTGAAAAAAACGAAGTTATATAAGTATTTCTTCTCGATCTTGATGTATTGAAGGAATATTCTTTATTAGTTAAGGCATGAATTCTATATCTTTCAAGCCAAAGTAATGTTTCTAGATGAGATTGAATATCTAGAATTATACTTCCGAGTAATCTATTTAACGTAAGTTTGGCCGATGCTGAAGTTAATTGATAATGAACTTTTTTCTTAACTAAAGCTAATAAAATATCAATACCCAATTTCGAACTAGTTCGAACATTATTGTCACTTGATGATCGTAACATAATTTCAGCTCTCTGACGAAAACGATCATTGTCACTACATAAAATATCACATACAATTGTTGTAGCTTCGACAGACCATAAATCAGAATTAATTAGAAGAAGTGCAGCATGATACGCAAATGAAGATAATTCATTTGAATCTTTCCATTTTAGCCACGATTCTAACAAACGACATGCTTTAAATTCTATCCAATTCATACGATGAAGAGCATTGCTTAAAATAATTCGAAGTTTGTCTAACTGCTTAGATTGATCTGTTAATGAATTGAATGAAAAAATATTAGTTATTGCTAATGCTTGTGCTTCTGTCAGGATACAATTTTCAAATTGAAACAACTTTGTTGTAATTGATTCATCAATGATATATTGACGATTATCCATTTTAATACATTCGTGAAAATCCTTAGCTAATTCCATAAGATATAAATTACAAATAAATAATGAAAAAGATAAATTTTCATGTGGATCAATATTAAAATATTTCTTCAACAAAGAAGATTTATTATTTATTGTTCTGTTCTGGTCTTGTAAACTATGTGAGAAACAATTTGTAATCGACGAAAAAGTATAGTTTAATTGCATATATGGTAACAATGCTTCAATGACTGCTTGTTGATCTCGTAGATCTGTATCGGCAAATTTATCAAAGAGATTTTGAAGACAATCATCAATCGCTTGTGAATGTTGTAGTAAAGGTAAACATCGAATGAAAATAGCTGTTTGTAATAGAAGAGGTAGATTTGGATAAATTTCATTGAACTGATGGTCAATTTCTTTTTGTAAAGATCTATTTCCACCTACTTTAATTCGATCATAATCGGAATAAGAGTAAAAAGCAATTACACATAATGCATCAAGACGAGCAAGTTTGTTCTGAATTAACATAGCTCCATATATACTCTGTTCTAATAAAGATAATTTTCTTTCTTCTTCAGTCCAATGACAAACATGTGCCAAAGAGATTGATGCAGAATAAAGTTTTATATTTGATTTATCATTTTCAATTGAAGCATTTTGAAGTCTTTCATATTCTTGTTCAGTATTATCTCGGATTATTGTTTTTTGCTGTTCCTCTATTAGATCAGTTCCATAAAAAGGATTCTCATCTGTATCTGTATATTGACCAGTTTCATAATTCATTGAACGTTGTTTTTGTATTTCAAAATTGCCCAAAGCATCAGAATCTTTTATAGATAACTTCCACAAAAGACTACTGCCAAAGTTTTCCAATTGCTGCATTCGAAGCCAAGGTAACAGTGTGATTAAGGCGCCTTGAATAGACAATCTCTTACATGATGCATTTGATAAAAATATCAAACATTCTATTAAAATGTGACCAAAATAAAGATGTTGTCTATTATTGAGTATAGAGTCTTTTGAATTGATCATAATAAATTTTCCTTTCAACAATCGAACATACAAATTTCGTAAATGTGAAGGAACAAATGTTAATGGAAATAAAATATCTTCATCATTGCGAAAGTGTAAATATTCTGGTATTTCATTCAGAGCAACTGCCATTCTGTATTGTGTATCGAGCTCATCATTATGTTCTAATGGCCAGAAAAGTTTGGTGAAATGATGAAGTATTGAGCAAGATTTTCGATCGGAATAAAATTGTACATCTGTGGATAAAAGACCATTGAGCAACTTACCTTCTTGTCGAAGAGAATTAGGTAAATGTAATGTTACTCGTTTATCAGGTCTTGATTCTCCTTCCAACAAAATTGATGTTGAAGAACATCGCAAGCGAGCTACACTACTTCTCAATGAATCTAACAAATCCAGAAAATTACTTCTTGCTGATTCAACATACTGAAATTTTTCGATAATAGTTGAAATAAATTTTGTGGTTTCATTTTCCATAGATCGATCATTGTCATCAGCGGTAAAATAAAATTGACGTAAGATCATTGAAATATATTTTAATCTATTCATACTCATACGTAAAAGAGAATTGGAAATTATTTTCAAATTATCTTGTACATAATCAATATTATAAAAGCATATTGTTGCAATGCACAAATCAACTGCTTCTGAAGATTCATCATGATTTTCCATTCTCATTGCGAACGATTTTATACATTCTTGTTTTAATTTTTTTAAACCTTGATCTTGTTTTTCATGACCTTTTCTGGAAAAGAAATTTATTAAAATCGGTGTTAATGCAGTTGATTCTCGATGAATATGAGACGGATTGAAGACAACAGTTTGATCATCTCGTTTTAAGCCACCATATAAAGCAATGATTAAAGGAAAGAGGACCATAGGAATTGAAGTCATTTCGATATTTTTATCAAGTAAGAATTCTTTGAAAGTATTTGAATTGGAAGGCAATAATTGATGATTTGAGAAAGCAATTTTAACTAATAGTCTATCAATAGCAAATTCATTATTTTCATTATCAAATATTGACAAGGATTGAAGTATTGAACAAGATGATTGATCTAACCATTCAATATTTTTAAATTCATGAGGTTTTCCTTCGATGAGATGACAAAGAGTCAATATTATTTGAATATCATGTCGAGAAGATTGAGATAATAATTTATTAATCCATAATGAAATAATGTCATGTGGATATTTTCTCAATGTATTTGTAATTTGATCGAATAGAAACGGACAAACAATCGACCATTTATGTTGACTAGCTGCGATTATTAAACGATCTAAAGCATTGAACAAAATATCATTTGAAGGATAATTAACAAAATCATTGACACAATTAATTAATATATAAGCACCAAGTGGTAGCAGAGAATAATCTTTGTCTTGAGCATGTATAAATTCGTGACAGAGATCGTTAAAATCATTTTGAGGCCAAGAAGAACTAATTTTTCCGAAAGCAAGTGTAATTGGTACTCGAAATCGTAGATCAGCTGTGTGACGACATAATAATTGAGCGATAAGTTGAATTTTTTTGTTTCGATCCAATTCATCAGTAGTCAATCTCCTTTGTCTAGGTTTATCTACCTCAATGAGTTTCAAGCAAGTAAAGTATTCTTGAAATATTGAATGAAGAAAACCATAGAGTGATTCACCTCGATAAGTTAATATACCAACATCATCACGAATAACTTGTGCCATTTCAGATGCCTGTCTTTCAATATCATACATGTCTTCTGTCGTTAGTAATGTTTTATTTATGGAAGCTTGGATTGTTTGAACACAGATTTCTTTTATTTCTTCCTTGTCAATACAATTCGATGTTGAATTTTGATGAATATAATAAGCAATATCAGTCAGAATTCGAATCAATTTTGGTGTGTCAATAGTTGGTATTGTACTATGACATAAATTTAAGACTGATTTGATAACTAATTCATATAGAAGAATCCGTTGAGTAGGTAAAGATGAACCATTTAATTGACTAAAACATATGGTACAAATAGATGATAGTAAACCAGAATTTGAAGCCATATCAAGAAGAGCAACATTTTTAGTTGTTTCTAATTCTTTCTTCAGCGCTTCACTATGAATCTCTCCTTGATTAACTAATGGAAGACCTAAACTTTCAATTACACGTTGATGCACACGAAAAAACCAATAATCAACAAAATCTTTAATATGTTCTATATTCATGGGTTTAATTGTGTAATGAGCAAATTGACCAGTTAATGGAGCAGCATGATAACTGGCTATACGACTTGTAATGATCAATTGATTACCTCCTAATCGAGATGGATCATCAAATAACTTGTTCAAATATACATTGTCAAATATAGAAATATCTGTGGGTGTCTGAACATAAGTATCAACAAAGTTTTCAACAATATTAATGATTTTTAAACGTTGATTTGACATGGGAATTTCATTAAGGCCATCAAGTATAATTAAAGCTTGACCTTGTTTAATATAATCTTGAAGAGCATTTGATACATTATCAGAAGAAATCGATAAGTCATCAACTATTGATTTGCCCGTCCATTTATGTTTTCCAATATAATCAAATAAATTAAGTGATGGTTGTTCTTTCAATATTTCGGCAAATTCACCAATACGAATTAGAATTGGTATACGAAGAGGACCATAATCAGTTGAATCTGGTCCATTGAGAAGTAGCGTCTGAGCAAGATGATGAACGAGCCATCGAGCAAAACTTGTTTTTCCACTTCCTGGATCACCCAAAATAACAATCCAACGTTTCGATCGAATTATATTTTCTAGAGTGACATTGTCTTCTTTCGAATAGGGATCTTTTTCAACCATTGATATCATGTAGGGAGTTGATACTAGTCGTTTCCATATTCCTTTAGATATTTCTTTTCTACTGTGTGTATCGTGTAATATATTGGTTTCATTTTCCATTAGCAATCGTTGTAATTCATTTCTTTCGAATGATGTAGATTTATCAGGTATGAGTTGAATGAATGTACGTGAAAGAGGAAGTTTACATGATCGCCATTTATGTTCTAATGTCATTCGTTCTTTGTAAGAGATTTGATAGGAATTATGAGTAACTTTAGCAACAATATCACCAGTGAGACCAGTAGGAGATTCACTTTTATGCAATTCAATAGAAGTACGAAGATAGGATTCGATCGTTTTGAGATGTTTTTCACGTAAGAGACGAAGTTTCTCTATGATGTTTTTCTTAGTACATTGCTCAATAGCTTCTAATTTTTGCCTCATCGTCTCATCAAAAGACTCTTGACGAAGAAGCTGCTGCTTTTGGCACGCGTTGCTAAGTATTTGGACTTTCGTTTCATAGTCACCTGTTATATTAGCTTCGTGTTGAACTAGTCGAGAATGAAGACGAAGCAGTACAGATTCGAGATCTTGATAAGTGACTCCATTAAGATAATTTTCATTTTCACTACAACTAGTAATAACTTCATTGATAGCTTTTAGTATTTGTGCAAGATCTTCTTGTGAATGACTTTCATCTAATGGTGTAACTAAGTCATTCAATCCACGTCGAAGATGAGTTAAACTATTTATTATCAGTTGCACATGATCTTGACATACTTTCACCTCATTTGCTCGTTGAATAATATTATCCATTGCTGTGAATATTGACGCTACGGTTTCCATTTAAATTTTTTCGATATTTTCTCCTGTAAGTAAACAGAAAAGTGTGAACAAAGTCTGAAATACTTTATATAAAAGTATAAAATGTAGTTGTTTCATATTAGCTACTGGCATTTTCTTCAATTTTTATTCTAAACAAAACTTTGTTCCCGTTGAAGTGTCTTGTGTACGTAAGTAATACGACTGGTTATTTTCATATAATATATAGAAAACAAGCTACTATTTCTTTACTGTACGTATAGAAATGAATACTGATCACGATTAAAAATTACTTAAGACTAAAATCATTGATTGGATTAAATGCAGATCAAATAGAAACGTATTCAATCACAGTGGTTATATATATTTGCTTACTATTATATATTAATTTCAACTTTGAAGGTCAATTCCACGAAAATTGTTATTGTTTAATTTGAATTGGTTATTGTGTGCATTTGAGCTCGTTCAATTGTAAAGAAAACTTTCGTCTTCTGATACAGATTCGAATATATAATTAAAAATTACGATTTGATCGCAAAATTTGTTCAATTATTCAACCTGGATAAAATAGATTTAGTAATGTTATTTGTTGAAATGTCATCAGATCTGCTTTTATTTAGACCTTTTCTCTTTGTAAACAAACTGTTTTTCGAATAGAGAAAACGAAAAACATCAGTTTATAGAAGAATCATTTAAAAAAATGGCCGATAGTTAGTTGTACAGTAGTCGAGAAAGCGAAATTAATATGAAGCATGAAAGAAATGTTTTTTTTCTTTCGAACATATATTACTACATCAAGCCCGATGCGACTAATAAAACGTAAATATCTTTGTGGACAATAATTACCTTTTTTTTTCTATATTTGTATCAAAAATAAATCTTATATGAAGCGTATAGAAAGAAAAATTGCTTTAGTTTTTTTTTCTCACTTTAATAGTGTCAAGTATGATGATTAAGTTTCTTGTTGTAAATGTTACAGGTCGTTGTTTTCAAGACACATGTTTTTTCAAAAAAAAAAACATTCAAGAACAGTTTCTCGCGATATGATTTGTTTTTTGAATACAGTGAGTAAAATACAGGAGATTGTTCTGTAAAATATTCACAAAAATTTTCAAACATCAAAATGAACTTTTGCTGTTAAACAGTCAAAATTGGTAATGAAAACGTTCATAAAAACAATATCATTTTATTTCAAAATGATTGAGATTTATAAAAGTTTCTTATAAACGAAGTAGTTTGTACATCATATATCTATATATATGTTATAAATTGATGAAAAAAGTTCAAGAATAAACAAAGTGTGTTCATTATTGATCGTGCTTTTTTTAAAACAATAAGTAACAATTCTGTTGTTAGGGAACAATACTATTTGAAAGAGAAGTGTGTGACCGTCAAGATTTACTGATTTATTTTTGAAAAAAAAAGATAGTGATTCTAAGGTATCTTAAAAAAGTAAACTGAAATTTCTAGGTTTCCATAGAAAAATTAAACTTTTTCTTAGTTTTATAACACAAAATTTAGATGAAAGTATAGAGTTGAAAAGAATGCCATGAATTATATTGGATTAGTTATTTGAATGTTGTTCAAAATTATTTTTCATTTGCTTTGTTGAAGTGATGTCTCGAAGCAACTAACATTGAGAGATAGAGAAAGAGACGTCTCAATTTTGTTTTACAAAGAAACAATGTTTTTCGTTTGGCAGAACGCAAAAAAAAAACACGTTTCGGTTCAACTAGGAAGTAAGGAAAAGTTTCCAAGGTTATTGCGTGTTACACCTCAATACTCTTTGCTGGAAAAACTGCTGCATTAATAAATTTTTCTGTTGTAGTAAAACCAGTTCATTTTATTGTCAGAATCATTTCTGTCTAACCTTGAGACTATCTAATTATTTGAGTCATTGACTCAGATAGAGCTCAAAATTCTCCACAAAATGATTTAATTTAAGATTATCAAACACGAAAATTCGAAATGAATCTAATGACTTTTTCAAAGAAATGCATAATATTTTAACAACAACAGTGAATTTGTGCTGGCAATAAACTACCTTCCTCATAAATCTAGAAAGATTTTTCAGACTGTTTTTGGATGTTGGTTTTGGCATTGTTAAAACACATCGTTTTGTTGAGAATTTTCTGTTGTATCAGACTCTATGACAAAGACTATTGGAGAGTCTCACAGTTAGACACAAACAGTTCTGAAAAATAAAATGAATTGACTTTACTACAAAAGAAAAATTTATCAATACCCATGAAAACAAACTTTACTCTATTCCCAATTAATTGATTTAATATATTTTATGGCGCTCTTTTCAACTTCATACTTTCGTCTAAAGTTTGTGTTACAAAACTAGAAAAAAACCTATCTTTATTGATGAAAATCTTATGAGTCTCAGACTTTACATTTTCAAGATCGTGAGACTCTCGATTGAGTATATATCTTTGTTTTCAGTTTCTCTTAATTATATAGGTTAAATGGTAAGTTAACTTGGAATTTTCCCCTGCTTAAGAATAAGAGAATTGTCATAAAATGCCTACCGTATCTTGCCTTTTTGATTTATGAATAAAGTCTATTTATATAGTTGTTAATAGGTTTCGTTTTTTTAAAGAAATGAAAATATGTAATTAATAACGACTATATATAGTAGTCATAATAATGATAATAATTTTTATTATAATTATAATAATAAAACATCAAAGAGGATGAGCAAACTTAATGATGAAGAGAGTAGAAAGGTTGGCGTCATACAGTGACATCTGTTATTGGAAATGAAGATATCTTAATGTCACTATCTATTTCCTAAGTAGATCATTTCATTTTAACTGCTACAGTCTTCTCTTTGAAATAGTATTATCCTTAATAACAGAATTATTCTTATTGTTTTGAACAAAGCATGATCAATATCAACACATTTTATTTATTCTTGAACTTTTTTCCAACACTTCATATGACACGATTGATTACTTAAAGGTTCCCTTTTCTTCACTTACTTTTTTCAATATTGAAACTAGTAATATGCTCGAAACTTTGTTGCATAGAGAGACCACTCGTAAGCACAGTTTTATCCAACAAATAGAATATATTTGAAGAATCTATATCTGAAAAAAGTAACATGAAATTTAATATGTTCCTCCTGATGTTTCTATATGTTTCACTTGCTTTCTCTGCCACAGTTCTGAAAAACATGTGTACTTTTAGACACAATATATAGTAGTTACTTTATTTCTGTTCTGTCAATGCTGCGCATTGCATGCGTATTTTTGAATACTTATTATCAAGGCAAATAGAATTTATGTATGATGTGTGGTGAATGATCAATATTTACTTTTGGTTTTTTTTTCTTTCAAAGTTGGAAAAAACCTTTGACTTCTTATTGTATTGACATTGTAAACAAGAAAACGCGTAGCATTATTTCATTGTCATTCAATGCAATAAGACAGTGAATGTCTCAATAAAGAATATTTTTGAACGTTGATACACGATCATTCTGCGTCATTGAAATACTAAAGGATCCATCTGCACTAATATATAAAAATAATCTCTGAAGATAATTTACTCATCACATGTATTTGGTTTCCTGAATCCTCCTCGGATTGCTTTTTGCTCAATAATTTTGTTGATCTAAAGCTATTAGGTAGATATTAATTGTATTATCCATAGTTAACTCATCAATGAGTATTTTTTTTTCAACTGATAGAGATCTGCTGAAAAACATCAGTTTGCATCATTATTTTATAGATTTAATCATCGGTAGAAATCTAAAACAAGTTAGAATCAATTGATGATTTACAACTCATGCAAAAAAAATTCAAGAACATTTCATTTTAACTGATTTTTTTCTGATTAAAAATTAATTAAAATTAAAAAATCTATTTTTATCAGTTCATGAATCTTGAACTAGTTTAATCAAATTAAATCTAATATTTCTGGAATTATCTGGTTTTAGATTAAAGTATAATAAATATGGAATTGATATATGAATTGTTTCGAATAGAAATAACGCAATTACATTAGGATATCGATTAATGTGAAAAAATATTTTAAAATTCATATACAGGGTCTTCCAAAAGTCCGGTCGAAAAAAAAAATATAAATATCTTCATCATTGCTTAACTAAACTTCAAGGTTCATTTTCCTGTTGGACAGAGGAATGTTCAAAGTGTTTTTTGGTTTGCTTGGAAATTTTTGTTGAGGCTTGTAAAAAAACTATCAGGTTTATTATGATGAGATTCAGGTTTTTTGCAACATTTTTTAATAAATAAGGTACTGCAAACCTGTTTCAAGGAGATATAAATATTTTCTAATATTGAAATAATGTAGATGAGTTCCTCTTTCACATAAAAAAATTATTATTTGGTTTTGCTCAAACATAACTGGATAGTATGGATATCTCCAACGGCGGATTTTTCATACTAGCATTTAAGAAAGTGCAAAAGATGTAATAAAAGTGTTTTTCAGATACAATTAAATAATAAAATGAAAAAATACTAATGCAGATCCATCCAAAGATGATAGCCCTATGGAGCTAAATGGATTCGTAGTCTGTAAAAAGTTTTAGGAGGCTGTCATAGAATCCAGAGGGTACAGGAAACGTTGATTTAGAAAAATGATTTACTTGTGATATAACTTTAAGTAAAGCAAAGCGGTTAAATATGTGGAATTATAGAACAAGCTGAGCTCTACAAAATGAGACGTAGTAGACTTTTAGCAAAGATTTTTTTTCAATTACAAACAGCTCAATAGTGTTTACTCACTATCGTAGGTACACATACCGAAAACGTGCCTCTTAAGTTTTATTATTTTTTCACATTGACTTCTTTTCATATGAAAACTTCCAATTATGTCAAAGAAAACTTTGAACATTCTTCTATTCAGCAGACAAAAGAACTTTGAAGTTTAGTTAAGCAATGATGATGATATTTACATTTTTTTTTTCGACCGGACTTTTGGAACACCCTGTAGATAAAGAAAGTCAGATGAGAATTGGTTAACCAGTACATGAATCATTTATAATCGACAATTTTGTTTATAATCGGTTGTTCTAATGCATCTCGAGAATAAACAATAGAGCAAAGACAAAATTTAAGATAAAAAATGAAATGATTATTCAAATTTTTCATTAATTATAAATTAGCGTAGCGCTAAATAAAAAACATATTCACAAATAAAATTTTGAGAATAAATCCGATTAAACAACTCAAATAAAATGAACCTATGAAAAGATTTAAAGCGAATTTTTTAGTCTTCAAAAAAAATTAATAATGATTTTAATCTTTGTTTTTATGGATATTGATCTATGAAAACAATTCAAGAATTTTTCATTAATATCAAAAGAAAAATTACCATTAATTAATTATCTGAATTTGAAGATAGAAAATGATTATCAATACATTAAATAAATAATCCATTCAAATCGATTTCATTGTTAATAGATTATTTAAGATTCATATGAAAATATCGATTTTAATGAATCAAATGCAAAGTCAATTAATATCGTTTTCATTTATAATCGTTTGTTTTGATTTCACCTAGAAAAGTCGGTTTCAATTAAAAATTGAATGAAATTTTATCGAAAAATGTCACATTTAATCGACTTTTTCTGTAATTATATTACGCAAATCAGTTTTTATCTGATTTTTAGCCGTTATTTTTTACATTAGAAAACAGAATTTTCGTATATTAGATTGATTCGAGACTATTGTTTCACATTTTATGGATGATTGTACAATACACGACTTACGTTGGTTGGTTCCTTTCCGAATCAATTGTAAACAAAGAATCAATTCAAAAATCATTCAAAACAACACGTTAGAATGGATTAAGATATGTAATTGAATTGTACCATCGATGTCCTCACTTCACACTCTCATAGCTTCATCTCAACAACTCAGCAAACCATCATCTTATCTTATGATACTTGATACATGGAGAATACTATTCGAACGTTACACAAGTTCATAACTATTTAGCGAATTTTATTTTGATCAAATATGTCAAAATAAAACATATCAATCTACTTTCCATGATCAGATATTGTTTTTTTTATTATTATAAAATAATACTGAAATATAGTCGGTTAAATCTTGCAATGAAACATTCTCTTATTGTATATTTCGTTGAAGCCAATCACCACTAGGAATTCTTTTCCAATTCTCATTCAATAACTCTGGTTTTGCTGCGTAAATGTAAGCAAACTTCGAACTATTTTCACTTTTGACGAATACTTCAACCAGTTTCCTTTCATAATCATTGCCTTCGACTTCATCTGCTAATTTAATTTGTTGTTCAAATTGTTCTTTCGATGACCAACTCAAAATACGAACAACAATTGAATCATTTGGATCACCTTTTAATTAAAACAAAAACAAAAAACATGATACTATTCAGTTTTGTATTTATTCTAAATTACCTGTGAAAATCCCAAGACAATACTTGGTACTAGGATTGAAGAACAGTCGAAACCCTAAGACTTTACCCGTCGTAGCCGGTTGAATATCCTGGAAAGAGAAAAAACATTCAAGTATTGCTTGTAGACAAATAAAGAGACATACTTTAATAAAATCTCGAGTCCATGGAAGGTTAGAATTATCATCATCACGCAAAGTACCATATGCTGCTAGTAGGTTACAGCATACATCTTGATCTATGTCGGTAATCATCATACACCGTTAAACACAAAGTTAGTGTTTGTGATTCTTTGACAAACACGATCTGATAATTTAATAAAACGATGCGTGTTGTATTTTATTCACACTGATAACATATATGTATCACCGTATCAACAAAAGAGCATTGTTGATAACGTCACTCCACTCCACATTTCAATGTGCAAACTATGATAACATCTATTTCCTTTTATCATTTTTAAATAGCTATGTAAGTAGAGCATTATCATTTATTTTATCATTTCGATTATTTCTTCATTCGATTGTATGAATGTCGATGTCAACCAAACCGATAAACATTTTGATTCTTTCAGACAAATGCATGTAAACGTCATGGGATACTCAAAATGAGGGTGAAGCATTCTTATAATGTACCAGCTAATGTCTGATTGTGGATTTCACTGTAATGATTCTTTTCTTTCCAGACTCTTCGAGTTTTGTGATCTTTAATCTATGTTCATAATTCATCATCACTTCTATATGAAACGAGTAAATCGACGAGTTGTATTGCTACTGTTTTTTTGTTGTGTTTCGTGTTTTCTTCTAGAGTTATTTCACTTTTCTTCGTTTAAGAATGAATCTATTCTTTATTTTTCACATACAAGATTTTATTTTTATGCTACTTAGAACCACCAATTCTGGTTCAGTATTTGAGTGAGGATTTAGGTAGTTTTGATCATTCTATCTAATGCTATTGCTCTATTTTGCGAAATACGATTAATAAGTGTTACACATGGTCAAAAATTTGGGACTCAGTCAATTCTGTCTTATTCTGATACGTTTTAGTTGAACTTTGTGAAGTTCAGCAATAGCATCAGATTGAACAATCAAAACTAGTTAAGTATCATCGGAAGATTTGGCTGTGACCAATCATTTTTATTACCACAAATACATTGTCGTTAATGTAAAAAGTCTTAAATTGATGCATCTCTATTTTCATTTTGCCTATTTTGATATATTATTTTTGCTTTGCTAAGTTAGTGGATATTCATCATTGAACTGTCTTCCGATTAGTTTTGACAAGTATTTACACTATCGTCTGAAAATGTATCTAATTCAAAGCCAGTTTGTATGGCAAATATACTTGCTGTAGTTGCACGATCAACATCACTATCACTAGCATACATTCGAATCATTGCGGAGAGCATAGATCAAATTCGAATTCCATTATTTCCGCACAGTTACTCCTTTCGATTCTGTAGAAAGTCGGTTGGTCATTGCATACTTTGACGAAATTCAATACATGATTGATCTTCTCTATTGATTGACGAAGATGATAAAAACTTGTTCGTAATGCAACATATGTCGAGTAAACTACGAACCTGTTATGAGTGTGTGATGTAGTTGTTGAATGAAAGATAAATTGTGAAATAAGAAACGTATCTGACTTTTTTTTCCTTCGCTTTATCCTCAATTAGACGACAAAGACGAAAAACGGTACAATTTCTATCTAACCAAATAGAATTGAGCGAGACGATATTTTTGTGTAGTTTCTTCTAGAGCAATTGAATTCTTTAAATATGAAGAAATACAAAGGCTGCATGAATATGAAGATCAAACTATCTTAACTGACAAGATGCTTACCATGGTTTCCAGATTGTTTCTCACGTTACTAAAATATTAGTTTACTTGTTGACATCATTGATGAAACTGTTAATACAATGACAGCTATGTATGAGTGATTTGAAAATTGAACGCAATTGATTTTGGCGTTTTTTGCAAGGGGGAACAAACTGATTTCTTGATTTCCTGATTTCTAGTGATTTCCATGATTTATAATGATTTCCAGTGATTTCTACTGATTTGTAGTAGCCTCGGAATTTCAATTTTATTTATATTATTCAAGGCGAGGAGGCACAAACTGCTTTCTATGCTATAAGTCACTGAAAATCACTAGAAATCACTAGAAATCCTTTTAAAGCCTTGAGCATACAAATAATGACTGTGTAGTGATTAAAAATGATCGGAAACCATTAGAGCTCAATGGAAATCACTAAATCTTGGAAAATCTCCACTAATAAGATTAATAGTAAATCCGTGACTTCTATTGATTTCTAATAACATTTATTGATTTTTATTGATTTTCAGTAATTACCAATATTCTTGGTGATTTCTAACGATTTCTCGTGATTTTTTTTTCATTTATAAGCATTTTCGATGATTCCTATTGATTCACGGTGATCAGATAAAAACTGATTTCCAGTGATAGAAATCCAATGGGGGAAGCACTGGATTCTGGAATTTCAAAGAATCTTTGGGAATCCTATGGAACCTTGGAGTCCTCAGTCTAAAAGCCCTTGAGTGTACTGCTATCGGAGGAAAATCTGTTAAAATACATCAGCAAAAAAAAGAACATTCTACTAACATTTTTCGTAGCTTCCTCATTTAGAACCTCTTGTTTTCATATCTTGACGTTGCACATTGATCTCTTTCAATATATATATTAGGTTAAGATCAGTAGACATACAACAGAAAAGAATATAGTTCATAAAGATGAAAACGAAAACAAGAAAGGCTTGAATATAAATATTTAAAAAAATATTTCAATAGCAGAAAGAGGATTGATGATGAGGTTACTCCTACTTGGGCATAATATCATCTATATAAAAACAGAAAAAGGAAAACTGTTAAACAGAATTCTTAAATAAAGTTTATCATTTAAAAATACTCTTTTCTGAAATACGTATCGAAGATAAAAATCAGTCCTGATGTAGTGAATTCATACTCCAAAGTGAAAATTTATAAAGCCACGAAGTACTTATAAAAATAGTCAACGACGGTGCTATTGACTGAGAAAAATGATCCTCTATCAATTGATACGTTATCAAGAGTTTTGTAAGCAAGTAAAATTGAATAAAAGATGATTCGAACATTGTCGTGGGTTGAAATACTAATTAGATTATCATTAGATATCTGATAAGATAGATAGATCTGAATGTATTGAAAGATAAATGAAAATTAGGAAGTCGGCTTGATCGCAACGCTTCTAGTGAAACTAATGCAATCCTATGAACTACACCTCAGAAAACACAAAAACCGAGTCATTAATATATACATATATCAATGACCACAAACGAATGAGATCAGAAGTGTTGTATTATAATTAGCATTACCATAAAAAAATGATAATGCTCTTGCTTTTGCCTTAACATTCATCATTAAGCCTAATGCATTAGCATCAATGGCATTATAATTAATTAATGGCTGCATGTTTGCATTAGGTAAGCATTATTTTTAATTCTGATGCATGTAAACTGTAAACAAAGAACCGTAGAATAATAAACCCTTTAAAAAGAGTTTAGGACTGGCGTAAATCCTTTTCAAAATGTTTATTATTCTACCATTTCTTTTTGCAGTGTAATAAATGCAAGTGTTGAAACGCTGAATGAACATGCTACCTAAAATATTTTAGAAGCTCCTTGGAAATACCACCTGTCGCATTTCAAGTGCCACTGTGACAGGCATCATGTGACATTTCAAACGTTTCCTTGAGTATTCCAGGCGACGCCTTTAGCGTTTCAGCTGATTCTTATAGCATTCCAGGTAGACGTGTACCAATTCCAGTCAATTCCTATTCCTGGAATTGACTGGAGTTAGAATTGACACGGAATTCACTAGGTTTGATTTTTTAAGTAAAAAAGTTTTTTTTTTTTTTGAAAAAAGAACAATCTTTTATAAACGTTGAAGAAAGTAAATCGGAGTCAGGGAATCAGAATCTGACGTTGGCTTCTCAAAATTTTGAAATTGATTCTTTTCACGAGAACACGAGTCTTTGAGAAAATAACGATTTTTTCCAACTTTGATCATTGGTGGTGGTGGTAGGGGGGTCAGTTTACTTGATCAGGGAATCAAGTTCAAAATTTCGAAAAACTTACTTCAGATTTGGATACCCCGACCTCGATTACCTTCGGTTAAGCCTTATTGAAGATCACTATTTCCTCAAAGAATCCGTTCTTTCGTGAAAAAAACCAAGTTCGAAATTTTGAGAAACCCACTTCTGATTCGAATTCCCCGATCCCGACTTACTTTCGTCAAGGTTTCTACAAAATCGTTCTTTTCTAAAAAAAAAAGACCTTTCGTTACTTAAAAAATGAAACGCAATCAATTTCAATTTCAACTCCAGTTAACTGCAGACAATTTCAAGCCAAGAGTCGGAATTGGAACTTTGGAGTTGAAATTGGTACATGCTTAATTTCAGGTGATGCTTCTAGCTTCCCTGGTATTGTCTGCACCATCTGAAATGCTACAGCTGGCATGTTCGGATAGAATTCTAAGCTATCCTAGAGAATTCTTAGAATTCTAAAAATTCATACGGAATCCGTAAAATTCAGGATTCTTGGATTCCGTGCTTTCTCCCTTGTAGAAATCACTAGAAATAGCCAGGAAACGGATAAATGATTAGAAATCAAGAAATCAGTTTGTTCCAAGTTGTAAATAATATAAACTTATTTCTGGTGATTTCTCATGATATTTTTGATTTCCAGTGATTTCTTTGATTTCTAGTGATTTCTGATGTTAGAAATCAGTTTGTTCCCCCTTGGTTTTTTGTCATCGATGAGTAGAGCTCGTTGAGTCATTCATAAAAATGTTGCTTTTGATATATTCATATGGTGTCTTTGTAGTGAAACTAAGAGAAATTAGGTTTAAGAAAAAGCAGAAAAGCCTATAAAAATTGAAACACTTCAAACACATCAGATCTCCACAGTGTTAATTTTAACCTCAGGAGAACCACATGCCAGATCATTTGAAAAAAGAATGAGAGAGCGGAAAGACCGCTATTTGACGGAGGTTTGTTTTGAGTATTCAGTATACCAATCGGTATAAAATTTTGTGCTGATTCCGAATATGACATTCGTTTCCTGTGAAACCGAAGTTCTAGTCAGAGAAATCTCTAAATAAGAACCCGTTTATATGATGCTTTGCTTTCATATTGAAAAAAATCAATTTTCTTAGTAATCAAACAATATTTTGCAAAAAACATGCGTAAATTTTTTTCTAACAGTATGACGAGTAAAATAAAAAGAATTACTGAATTATTGAAATTACCGAGATTTTATATGTTTGGAATATTTCAATTTTTGTAAACTTTTCTAATTTTTTAAATCTAACTTTTCTGAGTTTCACTGTAAAAACACCCTCTGAATTTGTTAGAAACAACAATTTTTGGGATAACTCGATGAGCTCTATCCAACTATGACAAAAAAAAACAAAGCAGATTGCTCCCACTTCGAATTGGCGATATTTTACATATTTTGAATAGAAAGTAAGTGTCTTTTGACAGAATTTGATTCGATCATCCTACACGATAAATTGTTGGTGTGCATTTTCAACATTCGTATATATCATGATGCATGAAGAACACTGTTTTTTTTACTCGGTAATCTTTAAAAAGAAATGTCGAACCATACGTCAGAGATAACAGCAACAGAATGACCAAATTTAATGCTTTATAAGCTTCGAAGTCATTTTGTCAATGTCGTTTTCTCTATCTACATTTTTCTATTGAGATACTTAATCAAAGCTTTAGCTTTGAAATAAGATTTTTAACAACAACGAGTTTATTCAGGCACCTCACTACTTAATCTAAATTATACACACAGCGAAGATCCATAAACAATATTATTGCTGTTGCATGATGCATTGCAGTATTGTTTTACTGTTAGTCATAGTCCGTATATGCCAAGGCAGCAATGGCCCAGATGAATCGATCATAGCTGCTATCAATACAAGTGCCTATGCACTCGCTCATCGTTGTGTGTGGTTACCCTGTCCTATCACTGGTTACTCATCACCATTCCTGAACTATTCATTAGACTGTTGTATTATACAAGTATCACTCGACTATACCCGATCGAATCGATCTATCTCTATTTCTGTCTTGTTTTAGTTTACTTCGACCAACAGCTGGAAACAATACTCTGTTCGTGCTTATGGGGGGATCAGGTGGATCCGGATGGACTTTATTGGAAAGCGTGGCTCGAATCATTTCAGAATCGTTTGGTCTCACTCTAATATTTCCCGATCATCGTGGTACTGGCTTATCGACCGTTCTTGGCTGTGATGATAGTGATTCACAAACGATCACTACCGATTGTATTACCTATTTGACATCGAAATGGGGCATTGATGGGCTCAGTCAATTTTCGATCACTGCAGCTGTTCATGATTTATCGGTGCAAATTCAATCCTACCAAATAGATCATCCTGGACGGATCTCAATTTATGGCATGTCCTATGGAACATTATGGTTGGATCGTTTTCTACAAATCTATCCAATATTGATCCAATCAGCTGTAATGGATGGTGTAGTCAATCCTTATTTAGTCTCCTTGAGTCGTTATGATTTATGGGCATCTGCCATTGCCTTGCAATTTCTCACTTATTGTCAGACGGATCCTGATTGTAGTCGATACTTTCCAGTTGATTGATCAACCATCTTCTATCATGCTCTTTCGCATTCTCAATGAACTCGATTCAAATAAACAACAATGTATTAAAACGTATTTTTCTCAATATCAATTCATCTCCAATGGGCTACGGATATTATTCTTCTCCATGATGCAATTTGGAAATCAATACATCGTTCGAACAGTGTTACCGGTGGTCATCTTTCGTTTATATCGTTGTAATGCTGAAGATGTAACTGTCCTGAGGTTTTTCTTTCGGTATATCAAAAACATAAACGAACGTGCGAGAGATGTTCGCAATGGTCCAGAATTTTTCTTTTCGAACGTTCTCAACTGTAATATCGTTCAATCTGAACTTTGGCTGGCACTGAATGAGTCAGAAGTAGATAAAGAGACAATGATTGCTTGGCATAGGTCTACTATTATGTCAGCTGGTAATGGAGAGCATCTCGTCTCAGTACGTTCTCAATGGCCAAAATATTCAGTAGATCAATATCATAATCAGATGACTTCTTACTCACCGTTGATGATGATCTCAGGTCAACTGGATCTAGCAACAATTTTTGACCAAGCCTCACTACTAGCATCATCGACCTTCAAGACTCGAACATTCTATGGGATTCCACTATATAGGTGGGCATGCAACTTTATTTATGGCTCAAGCTGGTTATGACTGTCCGCTTCACTTGGTTTGTTCGTGGACATTTCCCGATATTTTCCCTACAGAATGGAGAGATCCGATATGTATTCGTGGTATGCCAACGACCATTGATTTTGTCGGAGCAACTGAATTAGTTCGGCGAAACCCCGTGCGTTTTTTAAATATCAGTCGACCGTTTGGAAATGATAGCTCGGGACCGATTTTCAACGCTAGTGCTCATTTTACCCAACTAAGCGGACTCTTATGTATTTTTTGCATTGTCATACATTTTCTCTTGAGCGTCATTTTGACCTGAGTATTGCAATCGATTCTCTTTACAATTAACCTTCTTTATTTTACCGATTAACTACAGTACTTAACAAAAGTCCAATCAAAGTCCAGCTTCTTCAGACCTCTACCAAACTCTCTCTCTCTTATTTGTTCACCATACGCTTATCTCAGTCAAGGTTGATTGCATTCGATGTTTTAATTTAAGAAACTTGTGGCTAGGCGTGAAGTATGGCTCATCTCTTCACTCAAACGACATACCCACATCCTAAGACTTCTACCGTAACATGTGCCAAACGGATCTTGAGTAGATATCATCAACTACAGATTGCGATGGTAGCGTATAATGCATATGCTTGTAGCTCACAAAATGGTTTATTCATTAAATAATCGCTACAATGATTCTAAACAACGAAATTTGCTCATTTTTGTTAATATTGTATTACTCTTTGTCTTTTTTCCACAAAATCTGAGAGGATAGAACAAACGTTGTCTGACTTCAGTCAATTATTTTTTATTAGGGTGTGAGTCTTTTCTTTAATCATCCCACTTATATCCGCCTGCACCCAAACTTACGCTCATCTACCCACATCGACACTCGTATGTACTAATGATTTTTGCTACTCTATTTACAATAAACCAAGAGATTGATATTTAATCTTTAAAAATTTACGATAAAAAAATCCCCGATAAAAATAATAAAAATCACCTGTATGTATAGAACTTGTATCATCAATATCCATTTTTTGGAAGAAAAGTAAAGTAAATCTTGTGGAAAATCTCGATTTTCAAAAGAGTAGGCACAACATCTAAATATACTTTATATTCATTTTCACCACCATGTTAGACTTCCTTGAAAAATATGTGTGATAAATACAAATATTAATAGAATTAAATTATATGAAAATTCATATGAATAACATAAAATAAAAATAAAAACTTTTATCTGGATAATTCATCCATTAATTAATAAATCATTATGAACTTTATGAAATTGCTAACGGTGTATATTTATTTTCAGAGCTAATAAATATGAAAACGAACTTATTTCAAGAATCTCTACATCAACACATTTTTTACGTAATTAAAAAAATAATTAAAATATTTACATATTTTTTCTTTTCTTTAAGCACTTGATCAAAATAACTACTACAGTGTTTATCTGTATTAGCAATATGTTCTAGGTAAGGGATCAAGAAAGAAAAAAATTCGTACTGCCCTACAGACATAAGATTTGTCAAATAGTTTTATTCTTTTGTTTTATTGATGAATTAATTGATACATGCAATCTTTTAAGTCCTAACATTCAAAAAATATCTTTTAATATAAATATTTATCTTAACTATAAAAATAAAGTTTACAATTTCTTGTAGAAATTCTTAATGAATGCAATCTTAAAATGATAAATCCACATAAGAATGATATGTATGGAAAGAGGTTACTAGAATAAATTTTAACTATCAATTAAAAAGAATTCAATCAGAACATACTCAGCAGATAAATCTGCTTGATGAACTACTTCTATAAAATTATCATAATTGTTTTTTGGTGATTCAGAAACAAGTAAAGGTCAAATATTTTTTTCTAAACATAAACAAATTTAAGTTTTTTAATTAAAAATTTTTGTTTTTACCCTTTAAATTTATTTCATCATTTTGAAATAGTTCTATAATTTTTCGATGTAATAATAAAGTTCGTGCTTCTCTTCACGTAATTTTCCGTCGAGTAGATCATTTGCAATTTAATATTAATATAATATTCATAAATTTGAATTATAACAAAAAATTTTTCTTCATAAATGTTTAGAGGGTGTGTATGTGGGTGTAAGTTGTTGTTATAAATATATTTTCATTCCATCGTTATGTATATCTAATATTTGATTCATTATTAGATTTACCACAATGAGTCCCTTTATGTTCTTTATGTAAATATTTTGTAAACAAATGAAGTTTCATAAAAAAAAGCAGATATCTTAGAGTTTGTTCTTTCGAATAAACCTTTACATGTATAGAATATCGTTTGATTCATTACTTTGTCTTTGAATAGGACTTGATAAGATTAAGTAAACTAGAAAGAATTTGAATGTATAGTTTCCCTGATGAGAACTCTGTTTTTTTCATTAGTCAGGAAATAAGGTTCTTATAGTTCTTTATTATTTTGATTAGTTAAGATCAAAAGAAATTATTAGCCTAATTTTCTTGGTCCTATCGAGTCTTATCAATAGCCAAGATATGAGGCCGAAGAGCTTTCAACACTTTGAGAAGTTTGCTCATGGAAAAAATGACTTGGTCATCTTCTTCGCTGGAAGTAGCTTATCTTTCTTTTAATTGTTTTGTTAAAATTTGCAAGAACAGTATTCATCAAGACAAAAAAAATCGATAACATATAATTGCCAAGTAATTTAAAAAAAAATTAAGCACGCAATAAGAAAATGAAATACAATTATGATTAAAACAAACAAACAATGAATAAATGATGCCATTGATTTAATCATTGTTTAACTTCAAACCATGATCTGAAAATAAGTCAACAACTTAGACGTGTTACATTTTCTAGTACTTTAGTTATTACTCATGTGTGGTTAATTCATTAGATCAAGCAGATATGCAAAATCGATTGCCGCGTAAAACAAGAATTAACTATTTATTGAGTATCTTGTTCAATTTTTCAGGTTACAAATAGAAGACGAAATACGACATATTTATAATGATGATCGAATTCTGTACTTAATGTAAGTCCAGCACAAGTGCTACGTAACCATTACTGGTAGTAAGTAATAACAAATATGATGCTTGCTGTTTTATGGATCTTACAAAATAATAAAATATCTCAGCTACTTTCTTTTTTTATTCTAAAACGGACAATTTTCATTTCTTTTTTTTTTATCCAAAATTACTGTTTCTATTGAATTGTTATTTCCAAGCGTTTACAAATTATTTTTGACATAGATCAATTTTTTTGTTGTCGAAAGAATTGTAAAAAGAAAATGAAGAAGATTTGAACTAAAACAAAGACATCACATTGATATTTTTCCTGTGAGAATCCATTTGATTAATATTAACCATATAAGAAGATATAACAGATTGTTAATTCGATTACCTTTCAATGCCTTCGAAAAAAAAAAAAAAATGAATATTTTCATTTGTGATTCTAGCGTTTATTTTATTAGTTATCGACTAAAATTTCCATGTGTGCAATTAATTTAAAGAAAATTGAATGACAACCTTCGATTTCAAGAACGAATATATATATATCTAAATTCTTTGTTATCTCCCTAGAAAATTAAAATTCAGTTGAAAAATGAGAAAATTGATTCCGATGCTCACTTTTCTATCGAGTTTTATAAAAGTTTATTCGTTTGATATTGCTCAAAAAACTTAATTCAAACAATAAAAGTAAATAATACTTATAAATAATTGAAGCAATTTATCATTTTTTTTTTATTCCAAAATTCTAAAAAGATTTGCTATTTTTTCAACATCATCTTATTTGTATGAGTTTACCGTGTCAAAATTATGTGGTAAGAAGATTTGTTTGAAATCTTTTTTTTTTGGAAACTATATTAAGCAATATATGACTAAATTTTTATATAGTTGTTACTTTCACAATGTTTTATTTCATATAAATCAAAAAAGAAATATTATTTTATGTTTATTCAACAGCATTAAATAAATAGTATCAAGGAAAATGTGACCTTATTCAGTAGGAAATACAAGTTTACGAAAGAAAAAATAATTGAATGGTGGATACTTGTAATTATCAGTCAATCGTTTTAATTTTTAAAGGCATATCTATTTGTATATCTGATGTTTTCTCTTCGTAGAAACATGCTGCAAGACGTGATACTTTTTCAGATTCGACAAAATTCGAATTAATATCATTTAATAAATTTCTTCGGATAATTCCACTTACATCATTAGTTAAATGTTGAATCAGAAGAGAATAGATGACATCTTTCAATGGTCCAACATAATCATATGCACAATCTGTTATTACAGAATCTTGTTCTTTAATTAACCAAAGGCCCTCATTTGAATCAGGATCTAATATAAGTTCATTCAATACTGTTCGAACTTGGTTAAATGGAACGAGAGAATATTTCGATAGATGAAGAAGCATTTTAGCTGCAACATATCTAGTATTCATTGATTTCGATTTCAAATAAGAAAATAAAAGATTCAAAACCTCTTTTTCATTTTTGATGGAAATAATACGATTTAAACATTTATAACAAGTATTTTGAATGTGTGGATCATCACGTAAACCATAAATAAGCATTTCACATAATTCAACCGTTAACTCACCAAATATAGATAGAATAGTTAGACAAGCAGCGCGTTGTGGAAAATCATGTTGTTTACTCGTATAGAACAATGCATGTTTTAAGTTATCACCATCATGCGAATCTTTTATATAAGCACAAAACGTTGCAGGCATTCGTATAGCAATCAAGCTTGCTACTTCTACATATCGAAGATTTCCATAATTTAAACAACAATCGATCGTTCTAACATATATTACATTATCAGTAAAATGACGAATACTATTGTACAATTCGACGATGAAAATTGGCAAAAGATCTGGATGTTCTTCGATCAGCTTTACAACAGCATTCATATTGCCTTCCCAACAATCGTATATTAATAAATATGCAGTCGAGCCAATGAGTGCATGATAACATTGAATATAATCAAAATCAAGCATCTCAAATAACAGTGAATTATCCTTCAGAACTCTTCCAAGTCCCACATATGATGCTGTTAAGACATTTTTTGAGGGATGTTTAAGCAACTTTCGAAACAAAGCAATATCGTCTTGGTCAAAAACGATTTTCTCAATACACACACAATGACAATAACTTGAAATTAAGATTGCTATAATATCATCGGAATTGTTAGAAGCTTCAATTGTATCATTATTCATTGCTACTTGTAATTGATTGAACAGAATTTTATATGTTCTTTCGTTACAAATGTAACTGAGAGCATATACAACTGCTCTACGAATGTCATTTTTTGTCGATGTCTCATATAATATGACCAAAGCATTTATTAATAACGCTCGACTTTTGAAAGTATGATTAAATAACGTACCAATACATATAAGTACTGAAACGACAAATCGAATATGACTTTCCACAACTGCATTCGATGTTGTATCACCATCGATTTCCAAAAACGATAAAAAATTAGATATGATCAGATCACACATATATTGGATCAAATCTTTAGAAACTAGCCTTATGGTTTCGCAGAAAGATACTTCTATCGTAAAATCCGTAGGAAAATATGAAACTGCATGAGAAATTGACGACAATTTTGACTTGTTAATGGAATATTCTTTATTGAATAGTACATAATTTCTATATCTTTCTAACCATAAAATAGTGTTCAGATGAAATCGATTATCTAAAGTTATATCTTCAAATACTCGTGATAAAGTAAGATTAGCAGATGGTGAGCTGTATTGATAATGAGATTTTTTTGTGGTTAAAGTTAAAAACACGCTGATACCCAATTTCGAACTTGTTCGAATATCGTTGTCGTTACTTGTCGATCGTAGAATTATTTCAGCACGTTGACGAAAGCGATCATTTTCACAACATAAAAGATCACAAATGATGATAGCAGCTTCAACGGACCATAAATCAGAATTGGTAAGAAGAAGTGCAGCATGGCAAGCAAACGAAGAGAATTCATTTGAATCTTTCCATTTCATCCAAGATTCTACTAAACGACAAGCTTTGAATTCAATCGAATTAAAACGATGTAACGTATTGCTTAAAACAACACAAAGCATTTTTGAATGCTTAGATCGATTTGATGAAGAAACAGATAATAGAAAGTTGCTAATCATAACAGCTTGCGCGACTGTCAAAATAGGATTGTCGAATCCAAAAAGTGTTGTTACAATTGATTTATCAACTGTATAGAAATCATCATGTAATACGGACAGTTGATGAAAATCAGCTGTAAGATATTTGTGGAAGTCACTGGTTAACTCAACAAGATACATGTTGGCAACAATTGGCGAGAATAGTATAGTCTCATTTATCTTCATATTCATATATTTCATCAAGACAGAAGATCTATTATTCATTGATATATTGCTAGCGGGTAAATAATTCAATAAGAATTCCCGCATTTGAGAAATGGCAATATGTGATCGCAGATACGGTGATAATGCTTCGTACACAACATGCTGATCTTCATATTCAGCAGTTGCAAACTTGTTTGCAAGATTCTTTGCACAAATGTCAATTGTTTGCTGATGTCGAAGTAAAGGTAAACATCTAATGAATATAGCTGTATGCAATAGAAGAGGTAATTCTGAGTAAATTTCATTGAATTGATATTCAATTTCTTTTTGCAAAGATCTATTTCCATTTACTTGAATTTCTTTATAGCCTAAACGAGAGTAAAAAGCAATCATGCATAATGCATCAAGACGAGAAAGTTTGTTAGTAATAGACATGGCTCCTTGTACACTTTCTTCTAACAAAGACAATTGGTTTTCTTCTTCAGTCCATCGACAAATACATGCTAAAGAAATACATGCTGAATAGAGTTTCATGCTTCTTTCATCATTGTCAGTCAATGCATATTCAAGTCGGTGTTGTTCTTGTTCGATACATTCTTTCATCAATGCCTTTCGTTCTTCATCTGTCATATCATTTGCAGGAACGAAATGTTCCAGTTTATTTATATATAGACCAGTTTCATAATTTATTGGACGCTGTTTTGTAGCTTCGAACTCGCTCAAATAACTTGAATCTTTTGTAGCAAATGTCCATAAAAGACTACTACCAATGTTTTCTAATCGGTGCATTCGGAGCCATGGTAGAAGAGCGATCAAAGCGGCTAGAATAGAAAGTCTTTTACACAATGTATGTGATAGCAACATTAAACATTCAAGTAAAATATGCTCAAAGTAAAGATGGTATCTATCCTTGATGATAAAATCTTTTGAACTAATTACAATAAATCTTTGTTCCAATAGTCGAATATATAAATTCTGTAAATGTGAAGAAACAAATGTGAATGGAAATAAGAGATCTTCATCATGACGAAAGAGTAAATATTCTGGTATTGTATCCATCGCAAGAGCCATTCTATATTGTGTATCAAACTCTTCATTATGCTCTAATATCCAGAAAAGTTTTGTAAAATGATGAAGTAACAAACAAGATTTTTGATCCAAATAAAATGATACATCTGCGAATAAAATATTATCAAGAAACTTATTTTCTTTTCGAAGAGAATTAGGAAGATTTAATGTCACTCGTTTATCAGATATGGATTTTCCTTCAAGCAAAATTGATGTTGTAGAAGATTGTAAGCGAGCTAAACCACTTCTTATTGAATTTAATAAATCAAGAAATTGTACATTTGATAATTCACCATACTGAAATTTTTGAATCACCATTGATATAAATTTTGTTGCTTCCTTTTCATGCAAACTATCACTACCATGAACAAAATAATATTGACGTAAAATCATTGAAATATATTTCAGTCTACCCAAACTCATTCGAAATAAAGAATTTGAGATTATTTTTGTATTTTCTGTTACATAGTCGATACCATACAAGCAGATTGTTGCGATACAAAGATCCACTGTTTCAGGAGATTCTTCATGATTTTCTATTCGTGTCAGTAATGATCGCAGGCATTCTTGTTTAATTAACATTATTTTTTCATCTTGTATATTTAAATTATTTTCAGAAAGAAAACGCACAAAAATCTTTGTGACTGCTGTTGATTCTCTATATATATGAAATGGATCGAAAACAACAGAATGACCATCTCGTTTCAAACCACCATATAAACTGATGATCACAGGAAAAAGATTAACAGGAATCGAATTTAGTTCAATTTCATTACCAAGTAAAAATTCCTTGAAGGTCATTGGATGTACAGATAACAAACGACGATTTGAGAAAGCAATTTTAACTAATAGTCGATCAATAGCAAATTCATTATTTTCATTATCAAGTATTGACAAGGATTGAAGTATCGAACAAGATGATTGATTTAACCATTTGATGTTTTCAAATTCATGAGGTTTTCCTTCGATGAGACGACAAAGAGCGGATACTGTTTGAATATTATGCGAATAAGATCGTAATAATAAATTGTGAATCCATAGTGGAATAATATCATTTCGAAGTTTTTTTAACACAGCTGTGATTTGATCGAATAGAAATGGACAAACAATCGACCATTTATGTTGACCAGCTGCGATTATTAAACGATCCAAAGCATCAAATAAAACATTATGAGAAGGATAATTTACAAGATCATTACCACAACTAATTAGCATATATGCACCAAGTGGTAAAAGAGAATCAGATTCATCTTGCATTTTTATAAACTCGTAAGAAAAATTATCAAAATCTTTTTGAGACCAAGAAGAACTAATTTTACCTAAAGCAAGTGCAATAGGTACCTGAAAACGTGGATCATTTGTATGATACCGTACAGATTGAGCGAGGAGTTGAACTTTATTCTGTAAACCAGATTCATAAGATTTTTCCTTCTCTTGTTTCGTAGTTTCTATATCGATGAGTTTCAAACAAGTGAAATATTCTTGAAATGTTAAATGAAGAAAACCATAGAGTGATTCACCTCGAGCAGCTAAAATACCAACATCATCACGAATGATTCGTACAAATTCAGATGCTTGATTTCCAATATCTTGAATATTCTTTTTAGTGTCAAAATTTTTCCTTGACGAATTTTTGATAGATTGAATACAAATTTCTTTCATTTTCTCTTCATGAATAAGACCTGATGCAGAATTCCCATGAATATAAGTTGCAATATTACTGAAAATTTGAATTAATTCTCGTATTGGAATAGTCGATGTTTTAGTAGTCCATAAACTTAACATGGAATTAACAATTGCTTCATATAGTAGAATACGTTGAGTAGGTAATGATGAACCTTCTAATTGATTGAAAGCCACACTACAAATGAAGGACATCAAGCAAGAGTTAGAAGCTACATCAAGAAGACCAGTATTTTCTGTTTTTTCTAATTCTTTTTTCAAGATTTCGCCATGCCTTTCTCCTTGATTGGTTAATGGAAGACCTAGAGTGTCTATTATATGCTGATGTACTCGATAAAACCAATAATCAACAAAATCTCTCATGTGTTCCATATCCATGGGTCGAATCGTATAATGAGCAAATTGACCAGCTAATGGAGCAGCATGATAGCCAACTATACGACTTGTAACAATTAATTGATTACCTCCTGATCGAGATGGATCATCTAATAACTTGCTCAAATATACATTATCAAAGACAGAAACACCTGTTGGTGTCTGAACATAAGTATCAACAAAGTTTTCAACAATATTAATGATTTTTGAACGTTGATTTGAAAGAGGAATTTCATCAAGACCATCGAGTATGATTAAAGCTTGACCTTGTTTAATATAATCTTGAAGAGCACATGATACATTATTGGAAGAGATCAATGAATCATCAACAATTGACTTTCCCATCCATTTATGTTTTCCAATATAATCAAATAAAGTGAGTGATGGTTGTTCTTTCAATATTTCAGCAAATTCACCAATACGAATTAGAATTGGTATACGAAGAGGACCATAATCAGTTGAATCTGATCCATTGATAAGAAGTGTCTGAGCAAGATGATGAACAAGCCATCGAGCAAAACTTGTTTTTCCACTTCCTGGATCACCCAAAATAACAATCCAACGTTTCGATCGAATTATATTTTCCTCTGTAACATCGTCTTCTTCCGAATAGCGATCTCTTTCAACCATTGACATCATGTAGGGAGCTGACACTAATCGTTCCCATATTCCTTTCGATGTTTCTTTTCTACTGTGTGCACCTTGTACCATATTAGCTTCGTTTTCCATAAGCAATCGTCGTGATTCATTTCTTTCGAATGATGAAGATTTATCAGGTTTCAGTTGAATGAATGTACGTGTGAGAGGAAGTTCACATGCTCGCCATTTCTGTCTTAATTGAACTTGATATTCGGGTGAGATTTGATAAAAATTATCAGCAACTTTAGCAATAATATCAGCTGTGAGACCAGTAAGAGGTACACTCTTATGTTGATCAGTGCACTGGTGAAGATAAATTTCGATCGTATCGAAATATTTTTTACGTAATTGATTAAGTTGTTCTATGGTCTTTTCCTTTGTATGTTTTTCAATTGTGTCTAATCTTTGTCTCATTGTCTCATCAAGAACTTTCTGAGTAAAGATTTGCTGTTTGTGATATGCATTGCAGAGTATTTGCACTTTTGTTTCATAGTCGTCTGTCAAATCAGCTTCATGTTGAGCGAGTCGTAGTTGAAATCGGAGTAGTAAAGACTCAAAATCTCGATACGTGACTCCATTGAGATCGATTTCTCTTTCAGTACAACTAGTGACAACTTCATCGATGGCTTTTAATGTTTGTTCAATTTCTTCGTGCAATTTTCTGACATCATTCATCTTATCTTTCTCATTTAATTGAAGTTGAAGAATAACTAAGCTTGCTTCAACTATTTTCCAATGATCTTGACACACTTTGACCTTATCTATTCGTTGAATGAGATGATTGATGGTTGTTAACAATGGTTGATAAAATGTCATTTTAGTCTGCGTTAGCTTGTATCAATCTAAGAAACTGTAAACAACGTAGAAAGGTTTAAATACTTCACGTAAATATAAAAAAGTTTCACTAGATGTACTTCCTAGAATTTCAATCGTATGTTTACCTGTTGTGCAATTCTGCAAGAAAGTGGGTGTAGCGTATGTGACTATTGGTGGTGAATGTGAGTGTGGGCATTTGTGTACAGCGCGGGGTAGGGGTGGGGGGGGGGGGGGGGGGGGGGGGTGGGTGCCCACCCACGGGGGTGTGGCGGGGG